ATATTTATATTTATAAAATATGAAAGTTATCACACAAGAAGGGCATTGCCCTCATGAATGGAGTATGCATTGGCTTATAACAACAAGCCATTTTTGTAGAAATCGAGCGAGGATAGTCGACTCAAAGCTCAGCGAATTGAGACTCTCAAGGAGGAATCGGCGAGAAATGCTGGTCAAACCTATGTTCATTATTTTAGAATGTATGAGCGAACCATTATTAGGAGGTAACTCAGATTGGTTCTTCATCAAGCAAACCCATTTGTGTTGTTGGGACTGTAGAATCCACAATCTGAAGTCCACGATGCTCTCTTCTGTTTGAATACCACCACGCCGCTCTTGAGCGCCTCCTCCATCCGTCACCGGTCGATTGGCACAACGTCGATGGCGTGCCTTGGGTAGTGGAGGGCATGTGTGCTCTTGCTCGCCACGTCGAAGGGATCGGCGCCCAGCTTGAAGATCATGGTGTTGCCGAAGCTCACGTTGAAGGAGACCGCCGAGAAGGAGACGGCCGGCTGGCAGTTGCCATTTTCCGCGAGGACGCTGAGGGAGAGTCAGATGTCCCGCATCCTGCCTAGTTGCGGGTCATTGGAAGAACTAGGTATTCTCATCGCCAAAATTAGCCCATCTAATTAATGTTGTTTTGTTTCTGCAATAAACCATTTTTGCCTCTTAAGAGCTTTGCGATATATTTGTTCCTGAATTTGCTCTCTTGCATGCAGTGAAAGAATCGTGTGATCATCCTGCCAGAGCTGCAATTCTCAATAAAATTATAGTATCTTGAAGCCTCTCGTGGCAGATTTGTAGTTGAGGTGGGTTTTAAGAAGAAGAAAAAACCATTGAAAAATAGCTAGTGGTATGAATGTATGATCCATGCTCCATATAGTATATGCTGATGGCATCTTGCTGAGTATAGCTTAGCTTTACTTCTTTCAACCATATATACATGGGCAGTGCATGCATGCATGCTTTTGGGTAAGAATAAATAAATTAAAATCTAATAAAAACTAAGCATGAGCATTTGCATTTTGAGGAAGGGTAGCTCTCACACCCCTACAACCCTACATGCATAGCAGGGCCACCCGACCATCACCGATGACACCTTCCACCGGCCATCTCCTAAATTTAAGGAGAGGGCGTTTTGGTCAGAGCCTGACGAAGAAGACGGCGAGCTCCGGGCCGGTGCCGCCGCCCTGAGGCGTCACCATGTAGAGCGACTCCGAGTCCCACGACCCCACCAAGTGCTCGAAGCAGCCGCGCATGTACGCCACCTCTTCGTCCGCCGCCGACCCCGATGAGCCCCCACCTCCAGCTCCAGCTGCGACCGGGAGCACGCCGGCGCCCATGGACACCGCCCGCAGCGTCTCCATCACCGTCAGGTCGTAGTCCGTCGCCTCCCGCCGCACCGCGTACCCGGTCTTCCTCCCGTTGCAGAACATGGTCCAGGCCACCTCGTCCAGCAGCGGCGGCGCGCGCTTAGGCACGTCGCCAGTGCCGCCGCGGCGGCGCTCGGTCTCCAGCACGATGCGCGCGCCGGCGGGGTTGCCGAGCTCGCGGAGCAGCGCGTGCGTCTGGAGCGCCAGCTCCACGACGAGGCTCGGCAGGCTCCGGGGCGTCTCCTGCAGCGCCAGCGCGACGCGGCCCTTGCGGCGGCCGAAGAGCGTGCCCGTGACGCGGCGGCACGGCCGCCTCCCGCCGCCCGACGCGACGTGCCGCGACATGAGGTGGGAGTCGGCGGCGCCCGAGGAGGTCGACGACGCGACCTCGAGCGCCGAGCCCGCCGGCGTCCTCCCGCAGCGGGGCGCCAGGATGGGGAGCGCGCGGCGAAGCTTCTGGAACAGCTGCGCCGGCCGGGAGGGGCTGCGTGCGGGCCGGTTCTTGCGCGACGGCGCCTCCAGCGTGTGGCCCGGGGCGCCGCGCGCCGGGGACTGGCCTGGCCGTCCACCGTTACCGCCGTTGCCGTCATCGCTGGAGATGGAGGAGGTTCGGGCGCTGGCGCTGGTGCCGGAGGAGGAGGCCACGCTGCTGGTCCGGCTTGGCGGGCCGTCGACCTTATTACCGCGGTTCGCGAAGCCCATCGGCTGGCGTGCGCGCGCGGTGGCCGGACGCCGAAGACCGGCAGGAATGGCAGCTAGCAGATCCCTCGTGCAACGGTGCGGGGTTGCATTGCAGGTGGTTTCAATTCGATGGCTGGCTGTTGTTATCTTGTGGTGCCAAATTAAGGAAGGCAAAGCGTGAGCTGGGAGGCCGTCTCAGTTTTGGCGGTTAGGGTTGCTCGGCCGATCGTCGTCCAAGCTGCCCGCCATTTTTGGGCTTGGATCCGATCATATCATTCAGTACAAAAGTAATTTGATTGGAGAAAATAAAATAAAAAAGCTTGCATCTGCATACATCAAAACCATGGACTAGGTTTGCATAAACCACCGATCTAGTACGAATTAGATAAATAATAACACCTACTCACAGGTAATTTCGTTGCATAAAACACTGATTGGTGGGTTCAAGAGTTTCGAAGCACCCAATCACAGAATCAAAATCACACTCTAGAACATACCTTGCATGAAAGAAAGGGTTTATGATAGCCAGGTGAGGTCCATTTATCAATGCTAACTTGGCAAAAAAAAAAGAGACTGGTCTTCAACACCCCAGCTGCCTAGCCTGCTCTCTCTTCTTCCTCTCGCCCGTTTCCCATCACCGGAGCTCGTCCTCACCGGCGACGTACTTCCGCTGATTAGAGGCATGCATGCATATTCCCAAAAAGTGGCAACAGTTTCTTTGGTAAATTCAGCGGAGTACTATATATATATATATATATATATATATATATATATATATATATATATATATATATATATATATATATATATATACTACGTATATAAATTAAGACGTGCTGCCGGCCAAGAAACAATCTGTTTATATATGGAGTACTGTATGTTGTGCATCCATCTATGTTAGCTCAATTCATTTGATTTTCTTGTCAGACGTAGAGCAGCTATATATACTGTAGCTCGATGCCATTATTGTTATTGGCCTGCCCACGCATGCATGGCTTATCTGTTTTCCTTAATGGAGAAGCAATACTACTACTACTAACATTTTTTATAAGTTAATCAAGACACTAGAATTAAAGCTAGCATGGGCATGCATGCATGCAAAAACTGGCAAAGCAAGCATACACGACTCATCATTTGTTCGCATGCCTTTTTATTTATTTTCATTTTTTACACCCACTTCTTCGTACATCTTTTGCATGCGCGCGACGTACATATTTGCATGCTGCATACGTCTACTTTTTTTAAAAAAAACAATGCATGCCATTTTAACCCAAAACAAGAGATGTCATGAACAAATCTTTAAGATTCAAAATATGTACAAAACCCACCACCAAATTAACATCCACAGACTCCATGTAATTGTTGACACACGAACATGTCACGTGTACCCTCGACGCCGGGGGTGATGCACCGCAGCTCAAGTCGAAGGAGACCCGACCGACAGCGCGATACGCAAGACAGTCGACGGGTGTTTTTGCAGACCCGAAAACCCCACACCCCCGGGAGGGACCCCGTCAGGGAGTGCAGCGGCTATGGGCTGCCCTAGGTCGATTCGCTCGCTCCTAGAGCCTCGGGATTCGCAGCTCTCAAACACGAAGAACAGCGAAGAACGAGATAGAAAAACGGTGGAGAGATAAAACGTAGATGAAAAGTAGTATATTGATTTGTTCGATTGTGTGTTGTTCAATCGGCCGTCACCCCCAACATATATAAGAGGCGGCTGGACTTCCCGTACAAGTAAAGGATTCATCTAGGCTTTCCTTACAAGAAAAATTACATCAATTCACGTCCTAGAGTCCTAATTCTATTCCAAGTCGGATTCAGTCTGAATCTGGCCCAAACTCTGTCTTCCTTCTTGCGCGGGCCGCCGGGCTTGCATATGATCTTCGATCGAGATGGCCCAAATATCAAACTTGTGCGCCTCGACGATACGAACAACTTCATGTTGATCACTTTTTCAAATAAGACCATCTTGAATACTTTTCGAGGTCATCTTTATCTTCCAGTCAGACTCGGTCTTGCAGTAGACTGGATTATCCGAGTCTCGTAGTGAATTTGTAGGCTATATATTATCTCTGATGATGATGACTCCAAAATCAAAGTTTACCGTCTTGATGATACGCACAACTTCTGTATTGAACACTTCTTCATCCAAGGTCATTTTGATAAGCTTTCGAACACATGTTCAATTTCACTCGGACTTGAGCTCATCCACTCGGATATTAGATACTTTCACTCGGATCGTCCGATTGGACTTTTTTCACTCTGAAGACAATCTTTCACTCGGATGACTATATTTCCACTCGGATGACTATATTTCCACTCGGAAGGCACTATCTTATTCACTCGGATGACTATATTTCCACTCGGAAGGCACTATCTTATTCAATCGGCAAGTTTTCATCCCGATGGTAATCTTTTCACTCGGAATATTTTCACCTGGACGACAATTTCACTCGGATGATCATATTTTCCCTCGGATGACTATATTTCCACTTGGATAATAATAAGTTCATCCGGTCAGCAAACTTTCACTCGACCGTAAACTTTCACTCGACCGTAAACTTTCACTCAGATGGTAAACTTTTCACTCGGATTTCCGACTGAAAACATAGCCCGATCTTGATTTGTGTCTCCAGGCCTCATATGATCTCGGATTGAGACGAATTATATATGGAAATCGATCGGCTCGACGAGACGAAACTTTTCCATGTTGAAGTTTTTTCGATTCAAGGCCGTATTGATGGCCGAATTACTCGCGCAACCTATCAGCCAAGTGTCTGGCACCTCGCGCCATATTTCCGTTGAGGTTCAGTCTGCAGTATATTGCCTCTAACTTTTGCATATGAACTCGGATTGAGATGATTTATATATCAAAATCGGTTGCCTCGACGAGACGAAGACAATTCCTTAAGAGTGCTCCTTCATCCGAGGTCATCTTCAAGACGTGATTGGCAAAAAACCACTCGGAACATTGAACTATGCCACTTGGAGTATAGTTTCGGTCCGTAAGATAAAGTCGAATGAATATAACCGAAACATAAAAGTGGTTCCACTCGGTGACGTGAATATTTTTATGCTGAAAACTCATTCACTCGATACCATCTTCATTGCAATCTGTATCTTGCCAAAATCAGGTGTCAACACATGCCCCCCTGTTTTTCGGCAAAACTTGCACGCCGAAAAATAATATGCATAGTGTTTGTTCTAAGGACGATATCAACACTCCATCGGCCATTTATTTTTCTCAGGGCGATAATTATGTATCGGCCATGTTTGTGCTAAGGGCGATAATCGTATATCGGCCATTGCCCACTTAGGCTTCCTGCCACACACTCGGGTGGTACTTCTTCAAATATTTGCCATTGAGAGCTCGAGGTAACAATGACCCTTGTATTAATTCCACCAAATATGAATTTCCGGGAACAACTCTTGCAATTCTAAAAGGACCTTCGCAACTTGGAGACCACTTCTCGAATTTTCTATCTCTTGAACCAATCGGCAGAATCACTTTCCAAACGAGATCACCAACTTGAAAATTCTTCAACTTGACTTTCTTATTGTAAGCCCTTGCCACCCTCAACTTATCTCTCTCTATGTCATTCAAAGCAGCCAAACGTTTATCAGCAACCTTATCAATGTTGTCCATCATCAAGTTATAGAAGTCTATTGCCGATAAATCATTTTGTTTGGCTATTCTCAAAGCATTCAAATTTACTTCCACCGGTAAAACAGCCTCCTGACCATATACTAGCTCATATGGAGTCACTTTCGTAGCACCATGCCTTGAGATTCTATGTGCCCCATAATGCCTCAGACAACAAGTCATGCCATCTCCTTGGATTATCCTCAATCTTCTTCTTGATGAGCTTGATTAAAATTTTATTGCTAGACTCAGCTTGTCCATTAGCTTGGGCATAATATGGAGAGGAATTGAGCAACTTTATGTTATAAGATTCGGCAAACTCTCTGACTTGGTGTGACATGAAAGATGAACCTTGATCTGTAGTTAACGTTTGAGGAATACCGAATCTATGAATAATGTGCTCGGTTATGAATTGAATTACCTCCGTATGCGTCATGTTCTTGAGAGGTACTGCTTCAGACCATTTAGTGAAATAATTAGTTGCCACCAATACGAACCGATGCCCTTTTGAGGAAGACGGATGGATTTGTCCAATGAAATCTAAACCCCAACCTCTGAAAGGCCACGGTTTGATAATAGGATGTAACATAGCAGCAGGAGCCAATTGAATATCATCAAACTTTTGACAAGCTTCACACCCCTTATAATATCTGAAGCAATCATTAAT